AGTGCAAATAGCAATGGATTCTATTTACACTATGTTAAAATAGCAGGATTTTCTGCTATTTATACTACTTATTGCAAATAGTGGCAATTTTCTGCACCTCACTATTGTAGTACATTATAAAACAGTATGCAATAATAACATATTGACTGCAAATTCAAATTATTAAATGGATGCCACCTTATTGGGACAATAAAGCCCTCCCTACACCTACTCTAACCCTACCCGATACTTTTTCAACTTTTTGATTATTTCCTTAATTTTTATTGAAAATAAATGCCTTTCTGACATGACATGAGATTTGAAAAGGGAGAAAAAAAAATGGCAAATTCAAACTCTCGTCAAAAATAACTACGCCATGTGCTTTACTATCTACACCTGGAGCTGTTATTAGACTATCGTCTTTGGTAGTGTTGACTAGCCCAATCACACATTGGTGGGCGGAGTTAGTGTAAATAGCCTCTGCCAACAAGGCGGGCTATTTTCACTTAGTGTAATACTTTCTTGTAAAATGTACAGTCTTTGCTTTATTTAGGCCTACTTAACCATTTTATTTGGAAAAAAGGAAGAACAGTATTTATTTGAAATAAAAATATTTGGTAACATAATGTTTTACTGTCAGTTTTGATCAGTTTAATAAAAGTACTACTTCTTTCAACATACATACATAAACAAATATATAGATAGATGTATGTTTGAATGGTAGTGCATTTGTTGTATAAACTACTTATGGTGTTTTCCCTCTTTTTGCAAATGTATGTGTATGCATTTCAATAACCATTTTTTCCCCCTAAATTCTTTCTCTTTTGTTTAAATCTTAAATATTTAGAAATGTTCAATTTTCTTTTTTTTTCTTTTTTTAATTCAATTTGTTTGCCTTCTGTACAAGTACTTACAGATGATAAAAACACGTTTGGCAATTCAGGAGACCAGACAAAGCGACAGTCTGTGTTTGCATGTCATTGCTGTGGCCGAATGTGTTGTTTCGCCTCAGGGCAAAGCTGTGCAGCAGAAATCCTGACAGAGGGTCTCTCTAGGTGGAGATAAGCTTTCAGGAAAAACTGTACTTGAAGGCTGAGTGTACATCAGCTGCTGCCGTGGCATTGCCTAGTCTCTGACAATCTCATTTAGACGGAGCGTGAGCCTGGCGACCCCATTAACTCCAGTCTTTTCCTCCCATCTGTCAAAGCACACACAGTCACTTGGCATAAATATTACCAACCTCAGCGACAGGCTTGCTCAGCCAGCCCGAGTTCATCTTTCTGCTGACCTCCATTTAACCTGCAGAAAGCCTCGTCTCTGCAAAGCAGGCCTCAAAGTCTGCATTTCTTGCAGCTTTTGTCTGTTTCTCTTAATGCTCTGTAACCTTCCAAAACTCCAAGATGTTTTCGATGGAGATGTATTCCTCTCAAGCGATTCATGCAGAGATGAATTGCTCTGCTATTACCATTTGTTTAAAAAAAAACAAAAAAAAAACAGTATAGCAGAACTGGAAAGCGCAGGAAGGAAGTCAGCAGATGGCTTCAGACAACCTGATATGCATGCTTTTGTGGAGTTGACTAGCTCAGTCGGTGTCAGCAGTTCAGGATTGGGATTCTCTCTCTTCCTCTCTCTCTCTCTCTTTGACGTATTGGATTTCAGGAACCTGGACTATCTATGAAGCCATAACCAGATCTTCTGTAATCTCTGATAATGCTCCGCTCCCTGGCAGCAACAGGAAAGATGAGCAGATTACCTGATAGACAGAGCAATTAACCGTCGTCATCCTGCGCTGTAATATTTTCTTTATCTCTCCTGCACTTCGCCTGTACTCTGAAATGGCATTTCATGTAACATTAGGTGAGCCATCTATCTATCTATCTATCTATCTATCTATCTACCTATCTATCCTGTCTGTTGTACCTAATACTAGATGAATGTGGGTTTAGTATTTAGTTATTTATTTTCTCAGAATTTTCAGAATTATAAATAACATATGTTATATCATAATGCTTACTGGGCATCAATCTGACCCCAGCAAAAATACAATTACAACAATTAAAAAACTATCAAAAACACAGTTTAACCAATCCCAGTAAAATGCTAGCAGGAATGTGTACAGATAATTTATTCATATTTAATACCTGAGCACCAAACTTTCAACTTCCCTTCACCAAAAGCCAGGAATGAGAATTCCCAGCACGTTTCGCAAATGAAACACCCATTCAGTTCACGTACTGTATTTGCTGTAATTTAAATGCACGATCACCTCCAGAGCTCACAGACCCTCCCCTGCACACACACACACACGCACGCACGCATGGACGCACGCACGCACGCACACACACACCATCATCACACAGGGACTTTCTACTGACTTCTGCTGTTTCATACACATCTAATGTTAGATGCTAAATCTAACCCTCACAGCAACCCCAAGATTTTGATGAAACATTATTTAGTATGTTTATTAAGCAGTTTCCTCGAGGATGGTGCCTGGTCTCACGGTGCAACTGATTTCAGGTTTTACTATCCTCATGAGGACATGTGACTCTCTCTCTCTCTCTCTCTCTCACTCTCAATTCAATATGCTCTTTACAATGTATTTTCAAAGGATAGTGTATACATTGAATCTAGAACAGATATATGTGCAACAAAAACATGCATGTATATACATTTAAAAAGTAGAAGAAATCAACATTTTAGAATTCTATGAACAATTACAAATTCAACGTGGTTTCTCTCTCTCTCGCTCTCTCTCTCTCGCTCTCTCTCTCACAAACACACACACACACACACACACACGCACGCATTTCGCATTTGACGTCTCTGAAAGTCACCTCATGCCTGCAACAAAGCTAAAGAAGCATCTCAAGAACATTTGGATTTGTGCAGTGTGTCCAGATAGCGCCTCTCCCGCGCGTTGGTCGGTGGGCAGCGCGAGGCGTGTCTGCGGCGCGTTTCTCCTCACCACTCCCATTTACCGGCGGCTGAACTGCAGAAACAGCGCTTCATTTATAACGCACGCAGCTCAATAGACGTCTGGAGGAGAGGAAAGAACCGTTTCTCTCATCGGAGAGTCTCTCAACACCCGGCGGACGGGAATAATTCATCGGGGGCCGGTTGCGTATGACTTGGGATAATGTTTGGATATACTGGAGCACAGGCGAGGACTTCCAGTGATCGCGTGGATTAGGTGACTTTGATCCTTTTGTGCAGAACAACTACGTTTGCGTGCGTATGGCAGCGCCGTTTCAGTGGTTCAATGTGATGTGGATACTTGTCAAGGACATCGTGCGTAATAAATGAGCCGTTCCGGAGAACGACGGCGATGCATCAGAGCTCTGGAAAACACTCTCGTAGCGCTATTGTGATCGCGCGGTGGACGATGATCTTCGGCTGTCAACTCGTCTGAGAGTTCCGTCGGCTATAGGATCCGTCGGACCCGTCTGAAGAGCAAAGTTAAGCCCGAGATCGAAAAACAAGGTAGGCTTTCCAAAACCCACCTTATAAAGGGCGATGCATGTGGGTGCGCGGTCTAAATGGGGCATAGTGTCACACGCAAGACTTTGGTTCAGTGTATCCGTGACCTTTTCAGCGGGTAATGGATGAGAGATGCGCTTGATCTGTCTTTCATGGAGGCATGCGAGGAAAATGAGAGGCTGTTCGATGGATAGCATCGATCTGGTGCGTGCAAGGAAAATCATGTGGCGGTATTGCGCCTTTATGCTTTTTTAAAATGCGATTTTCGCCCAGACGATTACTTTGTGAAGTGTTTTCGCTTCGGTTTCCGAGCGAATTATCGTAGTGTAATGAAAAAGGGAAGAGTTTGATGGGATCGAGCGGATTTCAGGACCACGGACAGCACCCAATAGTGTTCGAGACGCGAGGGAAAGTCTTCCTGAGCCTGTGGCTGTGAAATACATATGCATTTTTAGTTTAATTGAGGTATTTTAAGAGTATGCATGGGGGTGTGATCAGATTGTGTCGGTTTGAAATCAAATTAAGGTGTGAATGACAATCAGGCATTTGTCAACGCTTGGGTCGACTTGCGTTGTGCATGAAGAGGTGCTGTGAAATGTTTAATTTCGGTCGGTCTGTCTGTCACACTGTACTTTTCTTTTCCTGTCTCACACACTTACACTAACACACACAGAGCGAGAGAGAAAAAGAGAGAACGCCTGGTAAAATGATTCTGAATGTCATATTTGACAAAAAAAATCTAACATTCTCAGGAACTATGACCCTGAACTAGCACTGCTTTGCTCTGTTGCCATGTGACAGACAGCAGTGCTGCTGCTGTGCATCCCAATACTGCTATTCCTCTCAGCCAAAAATAGATTGGCTGGCAAGTGGAGAATCACCAGTGATGCCTGCCGTTATTACATGTGAATCACAATGTGATTTCCAAATATGAACTGATTAGACTTCATTATCGGTAGACTGGTCTCTCTGTGTCCAGTTATTGGTATGTCACTGTGTGCCACACCTATGTCTGGTATCCTGTGGAAATGTTTGTAATTATTGCCCTTTTAGTGTGCTTGTGTGTCTGTGTGAGATTGTGAGACTCAGGTAACTTTCCCTTTAATCTCCGTCAGAGAACTAGACAACACGAGCAACTAAAGCCAAACTGTTATCTGGCTAAAATATATTTTTCAATAATATTAACATATCAATATATTTTAAATAATAAACAACATACAATATTAAACAATAAATGAATTAATAAATTAATAAGTTGTAGCCATATATATATATATCGTCTAATATATATTCTGGCAGCTTGGTTACATTTGGAGCTTGAAAAAAGGTCACCGACGAATGCATGCTTTCTGCACATTTTCAATGCAGTTGTTGACATGTTTCGAGAACAGGAGCTCTCTCTCTCTCTCTCTCTCTGTCTGTGTTTCTGTCTGCTGTCAGTCAGCTCCCTCAATATGACATGGCCACTCTGTCAGCTCTCTGGGAATTAGAGGGTGGGAGTGTATTACTCTGAATCTGGCAACCCTGAGGCAAAGCAAGCCCTCTCTCATGCCTCTGTTCTGCCTGGTGCCATCCTGCAATCCTGTTTACGCAACCACCCGTACTCTTGGCCTGCTTGAGTGTGTGTGTGCTGCTGGGTAACTTACAGGATCATGAAGGCTGTGGATTTGTTCTTTGGATGTGGGTATTGACAGAGGGAGCTGGGCAGTTCAGGGCTCCAGACTCATTATTCCCACTGGTCGCTCTTTTGCACGTTTTTTTTTATTTTTTTTGCGCTACAACATGCTATTAATCAATGCATGCGGATGAACTTTTATCATAGTTTATAGTTATATGGAAACGAAAGTAGTTAACATTCAACCCGTTCTTTTTCATCAG